AATGTAATGATGATAAACTTATGTTTAATAAATGTCTCGCATTTAATGCTTATTTGCAGCAAAAAAAAAAAAAAAAATGAAAAGTGAAAAATGACTTTGTATTCGAAATGCAAACATTTTTAAGTACTTCAAAATATAATAAAAAATATATCTTCAAAAATCCTTCAAATTTATATGAGAATTTTTGTAATGCATATATTTATCATATTATGGTTTTTACAAATAATCCATTCCCTAAAACACAAAATATTTTTTTACAAGCACAAAAAGAATGGAAAATTATAAAAAATTTAGATAAAGAAATTATAGAACAAAAAATAAATAATTATTTACAAACATTCCTTCAACCTATTCAATATACATCCTTTTTGTCCACATTTCATACATCAGATCAATCTATAATTTCAAATCAATCTATAGTTTCAAAAGAATCTAAGTTATCTATCGAAAAACCACGTTCTAATGCAACAGCTCAAAAAAATTCTTTGGAACAACAAAAAATTGCCGAAAATCAGCTTGATGAATTGAATACCTTATACAACATTGCACATGATTCCAAAAGAAAGCAAGATTTTTTATCTCAAATTGTCGAAACAAAAAAAAAAATAGAAAATGAAAAAAAAAAAGAAAAAAATTAGTAAAACATGCTGCTGCACAAGCAAAAAGCCAAGCAAAAAAACATAAAATTTTACAAGAAAAAGAAGAAATTATTAAATATGATTCACCTGGACGACCATCTTTTATTTTACAAAATCCGGATCTTCCTGAACAGTTACATTCATGTATTGAATTCGGTAGTGCAACTAAAAAAAGAAGAAAAGAAATTATTAAAGTACGTACAACTACACATTTAAAAAAAGAAATGGAAGAAAGATATGGAATTTATATGTCACGTACCTGTTTAAACACATATATGTGGCCTCGACGAATTAATTCTCTAAATGCCAAACGACATCATCATCCTATGACTATTCAAATTAAATCAGTATCTAGAAATGAAATGCCTGAGCATATTGATGAGCATTATTGTTTAGCAGCAGTTAAAAGTGCTAAACAATTTGCCAGTTCCTTTGCTTCTTACGCTGTAATCATATCACAAGATTATAAGGCAAAAATTCCTCTTGGTATTTCAGCTGTTGGACGAACATTCAAGACTATACAAACAGCTTGTGAATCAGTTACCGTGCCAGATCATGATTTTCCTAAAGGAAATAAACAAAAATTAATTCCTTCAGTTTACCTTACAATTAATCCAAATGATTCCAATGATTCATTGCGCAATGGACAACTATCAATTTTTATTTGTCCATATTGGTCACTTGATACATCTTCTACAACTCATATGGTTGACTTGATGCTTATGATGAAAAATTCAACACTTGAGAAGGCATTAAAATTAAGAAGCGAATTTAAGCCAATTTTAATTTTGCTTGTTGATGGCGGTCCTGATGAGAATCCTAAACATTTAAAGAATATAAAGGAATATTGTAAATTATTTCTAAAGTTAAATTTGGATTATTTTACTATTCGAACTCATGCCCCTGGACAATCTGCATACAATCAGGTAGAATGTAGCATGTCCACTCTTTCAGAAAAATTAGCTGACATTGTCTTACCTATTGATCATTTTGGCTCTCACGTTGATTCTGGTGGTAATGTTGAGAATATTGAGTTAGCAAATAAGAATTTTTGCTATGCTGGTGAAAGGCTATGTGATATTTGGCAATGGGATAATATTCATGGAAAAAAAGTATTTGTTGAATATATTGATCAAAAAATCGATCCTTTTGATGAAAATTTGAATATATCATGGAGTTGGATAGAAAAACATTGTCAAATATGTCGATATTCTTTGGATATTAGAAAATGCGAAGACTTTAATTGCTGTTCTAAATGGAGAACTGAAGAAGCAGCCACTTTATTGGCTGAAAATAATGGATTCTTACCACCTGCTACCAAAGATCGAGATGGATATTTTTTCAATCCTATCCATTTACTTCAATATATGGATAAATTGAAACTTCCTTGTTTTGATCAAAACTGTTCTTCTATTCTTCCGAACTTTATTTACGACTGGTTTGTGCTATATGCTATCAATATTTTCCCACCCTATCTTTTCTTATCCAACATAAAAAATTAAATCATCCTGTTCACCATGGCCGAAAACCTAAGATCCGTGCAGTAATTGATTGTCTTCCTAATTCTATTTCATCAAGCAAAAAAATATCTGAAGTTTTGAGTTTTTCTGATAGCGAATGTTTTTTTTAGTAGACTTGTAAAACTTTAATTCTAATATTTGAGATAAAAATATAAATAACATAAAAATTGTTTTAATTAGCGTAGGTTATTTTTATATTAGTTAATTTAAAAAAAAAAAACTTTTAAAAAAATACTTATTAAGTTTTTGAATTTAAATAATAAAATTATCTATACTTTTATTTTTTTTTCTTATCTTATCCTCTAATCGATAACATTAATCTTTTCTCAGTTGAATTTATTATCGGCAATTAAGTTTCTGTCAAAATATTATCTGAAAAAATGTTCGATTATTTTATTAAAAAATAAATAAATAATCAATAATAATAATTATCAATAGTACAATTATTTCTTTCAGAATACTTACGCTTTCTTACTGTAAATTTGATTATATTATTCAACTTGCAAGCACCTTAAGTATTTTGAATATTCCATTTTTGTTAAGCTTAATAGTTTGACAACAAGAATTTCAAGATTGATAGTATTTTTAGAGTTATATTAATAAGCTCTTGATTAACTTTGGCCCTAAAATAAGAAAAATTAATTCTTTTTTTAATAAAAGTATCGATTACTAACTTTCGTCTTTCAATAAGATTAACTCTTAATACCTCTTTAGAAATGGCTTTCGAAATACTTTTTCATTTAAACTTGTATATGATCTAATAATTTTGATATTAATATATATAATTACAAAACTTCTTATATATTTATGTTTTTTTTTAGACACTTATAGTTTTTTATAAGTTAAAAAAAAAGTGACTGGTGACTTTTTATAAGGATACTGCCAGGGCGACTATCCAAAATATCATATAGTCAATTATATTGAAATTACAGTAAATCGCAAATTATAATCTCTTTTGGTGATCATCTTGGTAGTATTATTTATAAGGATAATATATATTGGCTTAACCAATCATATTGCAGAAAATATAACCTGATACTTGGACTAACCCACCCACCCACCTAAAAATCACCTGATTTTTGTCACTTCCCTAACAATACATTCAGAATTTCAATGTATAGTTAGCTCAAACCTATGCTTCTCATCAGGACTATAAGTGAGATGTACTGCTATTCTGACATTCTAGGACGTGGTGCCAGCGAATTATTCGTCATATATTTTATCCTGAAAGTTCTCCAAATTTGTTGTGTAATAGTTAAACCCCTTGACCATAACAAACTTACATGGCAAAATCGAGGATGATTTATCTCTCTTGAGAAAAATGACACAATCTCATATCGAATCACCGAATCGATTAATTGGAAATTATAAAAACATCACGCAAGATCCCACTGAGGCCAAGGTGATTTTAAGACATTTTAACTTCTGGAAAGAATGAATATTTTTAAATTGCATACTAAAGTTCTTTTCAAAATTTATCTTTGTAGAAAAAATTTTTGATGGAATTAGTTTATTCAGGCCTTGACAAAAGTTGTAGAAGAAAAATGATCCAAAAGAATGGCTATGCAAGTAGAATTGCGGCTAACATTGCAATATTTGAAACATTCCAATCGGTTAGGTTTGAGGCTGTCATTGGAACAATACAGAATTTTATATCCTTTGAATGATCTGTCTTTATATTTATATTATCTGTATTTACCTCGACCAAAGTATATTCATCAGATAAGAACATAAAAGCCTTTAATGGCATTATTTCGGTAAATACCGGCTATCTAGAGAACTATGAAAAACAATATGAATTCACTAAAGCAAACATAGTAACTTTTGTAAAGGTAAAAGTTTGTCTTAGGTAAACGCAAATATCGATAATGTAACTAAAAAAAATCTTTTTTTCCATAAATACGTGAAGGTTTGCCCAGATTTGTTTCCATTTTCTACTCCTTCAAAGACAGTCTTCATCGCAACTGAATGCATATAAAAATAAAATCTATTCAACCATGTTATCACTGGGTACCTTGAAAAAGGCTAATAAGTTTTAATTATTATTTTAATCGTAACCGGGCTATCTATTAGTCAATCAACATCTCATTTTGACATCTCACTCTCCTCGACTTTTCTAATTCGCTATTTCATTTTGAATAGTCATGATTTAATTCCAGGTCCATAAACATCCTGATTGCCATTCCAATAAGTTTCCAAATTCGACAAGATTGACGTTCTTTTTTTTGTAAAGATAATATTTGCAATTTTAGTTTAATTCATCTTGAAAGACGTATGAACTTACCGATTTAAATTAAAATTGAGCCAATAAAATAGAGATCTGAAAAAAAACTAATTGTTACAATCCTTAATTTTGAATCTGCAAATAATTGGAATTTTTTTTTATGCTCTGTCCATGAAATCAAAATTATTTTATTATATAGCATTTAATAAAATATAAACCCGGTGTAATTAATAGACAATAATATTGCATGGGCCAATTTCACAATAAAAAAACATATCACCAGCAGAATCCGATTCATCCTTTGATTTAAACATCGCTTATCATCAGTATATAGTGTCGCGGGTCAGGAGTCTATCAGCAGTAACGGCGAAATCCTAGACTTCGCGACACTTCGACAGGGGTATCTGTTATAACAGGGGGATTAAAGGCAGAAAGAGGCGTAGATTTGGCGAGTTTGTGTGATTTAGGGGGATTTTTATTGGTCAGAACAGT